TATATATATATATATATATATATATATATATATATATATATATATATATATATATATATATATATATATATATATATATATATATATATATATATATATATATATATATATATATATATATATATATATATATATATATATATATATATATATATATATATATATATATATATATATATATATATATATATATATATATATATATATATATATATATATATATATATATATATATATATATATATATATATATATATATATATATATATATATATATATATATATATATATATATATATATATATATATATATATATATATATATATATATATATATATATATATATATATATATATATATATATATATATATATATATATATATATATATATATATATATATATATATATATATATATATATATATATATATATATATATATATATATATATATATATATATATATATATATATATATATATATATATATATATATATATATATATATATATATATATATATATATATATATATATATATATATATATATATATATATATATATATATATATATATATATATATATATATATATATATATATATATATATATATATATATATATATATATATATATATATATATATATATATATATATATATATATATATATATATATATATATATATATATATATATATATATATATATATATATATATATATATATATATATATATATATATATATATATATATATATATATATATATATATCTATCTATCTATCTATCTATCTATCTATCTATCTATCTATCTATCTATCTATCTATCTATCTATCTATCTATCTATCTATCTATCTATCTATCTATCTATCTATCTATCTATCTATCTATCTATCTATCTATCTATCTATCTATCTATCTATCTATCTATCTATCTATCTATCTGAACTGATTTGTAAAACGTCAAGCAGACGTTAGTGTGTTCTGTGTAATAATGGCCAGCTCAAAGACACACGGTTCGGGTGTCTCACGAGGGTCTATACTGAGGAGCCGTGAATACATCTGTCACCGACATCGTCGGGCACGTCGCCGAGGCAGCCTCTTCCTCGAGGCTGTGCGACCAAAATACTCGACACGTGAGGCTGCGGGCCAACGAGAGTTCGTAGCAGGAAGTGATCGGCAGTGGCAAGCGCGAAGAGCTCTTTCCCGAGAGGATTGTTTGGGGGCGGAGGGGGGAGAGAACTAGAAACGAAATCAGCTACGCGCTGGTCTTTGTCGAAGGAAAAATGGCCGCTTGGAGACGTCAATTTTCGCGAATTGCATTCAACTCTCTTTTCCGTTTCCTGCGCCACCATAGGTCATCGTGAAACAACGTCCGTCGAGGTTTGTCTCGGCAGCAGCAATCGCAGTTCGATGACGGCCAGATGCTTGAAGCCCGTGTATCCAGATAAATCCGAGGTATACACGTTAAAGAATGCCATGTGGTCGAAATTTTTGGAGCTCTCTGTTACGGCGTGTCTCATAATGACGTCATGGTTTTGGAACGTAAAATCTCAGCAACGACAACAACGACAGCTGTGATGATGATGATGATGGTGATGGTAATATTAATCGTAATATTTTAATAGCTCTAATAATAATAATAGAACTACTATAGATAGATAGATAGATAGATAGATAGATAGATAGATAGATAGATAGATAGATAGATAGATAGATAGATAGATAGATAGATAGATAGATAGATAGATAGATAGATAGATAGATAGATAGATAGATAGATATAGATAGATAGATAGATAGATAGATAGATAGATAGATAGATAGATAGATAGATAGATAGATAGATAGATAGATAGATAGATAGATAGATAGATAGATAGATAGATAGATACCAGGAGTGCTTGCAGTACGCAAAGAAATGCTTCGCGTTTAATAATAATAAGCGGTATTGAAGAATGATGAGTTAGGTTAAATATAACTGGCCCCTAGGCCTTGCTGTCATGCATATAGCAATCTGTATCATAAAGCATCACAAATGGCCAGTAGTCTTCTAGAATAAACATTGGCTTAATCATTAAGCCGTTTATCCTGTCACATTCTCCCTCAATTGAGAAAAGTAAGCACCATGAGAAAAACGCTTGGTGACTGCCGCTGTGAGTTAAAGGCAATAATACAAAGCGATACAAAGACTGAATACAAAGTGATAGTCTTGTATTAGTGGGCAGTTGGTCAAAAGTATACGGTTTGGTGCCATCAGCAGTTGCACCAAATTACACACATTGAATAGGCGAATGGAGCGGTAAAAGCCCGTTGGACGCCAAAGCGTTATAACGTTTAGAACTCAGAAGCTGCGTATACGCGTGTGCTCCAGCGGCGAATCGCTTGATTTACGGCCGATTGCTCAACTTTCTCAACAACGTCAAGAGTGTCGCCAGCAGCCGCAACGTGCGCATCCCATGGCAAAGGGGGCAAGAAGGTAGTGCGGAGAGCAAGCCGAATTCCGCTCGTATAATTATATATCCCCCGACCGAGAAACAAAGCGGCCGTGACTGTTGCGGTCGAAAACGATTACTCGTTCCGGAGAATTGCTCAGGCGCGCCGGTGCATGCCCGCGGCCTCTTTGCATGCTGGACGCGGGATTTTGCGATCGAGACTGTTCAGGACAAAATGAACAGCCGTCTCTACGAAAGTATCGATTCTTTCAAGAGCGTTGCATAAGTTCTGCCGGACACAGTCGAATTCTGCCATGTAGTCGAATCCGATAATGGCGCAAATCAGAAAGACCGTTGCAGCACCCTCTAATCAGCTAAGAGGGCGGCGCAAAGCCTGTCCCAAACCTTTACTCAGGGCAATCTTTTTTTAGATGTGAAGCAGCTATTTGACTAGCCTGTGTAACGCTGTCCGTTCGTGTCTCCGTGCCATCACGCCGCACCGCTCCCTCGCCGCAAGGTGTTGGGGCGGTGCCAAGTAGGTCACGCCTTTCTTCGCAGTGCGTGGTGACGTCAGTATCTACACTCGCCTGCCGAGCGCTCGCCACGCGTCACCTCTCTCGCTTCACTCTCTCCACTGCTCGCAACGTTCGAGCACACATCGACTGAACACTGTTTCGGCTAGTTTATTTGCGTGGGAGCTATGCTCTCGGTGTAATTCAAGCTGAACTGTTGTGCCGCCCGTGATTTTTGGTGCCAGCGTAGCTCTCGCCGTCCGCGAGCTCCTGGAGCCGTGTCGCTCTCGCCGATCGGTGCCCCGTTCTCGGACTCCTTCGACCGTGTCTCCATCTTTCCTTACACTCTACTTTCTCTCTGTCGCCCCTGTGCGGCGAGTGCTCCATCTTGTTTATCTTTCTGCTACTCTTTTTATTCCCTTCCCCCCTTTCATACGAGGAGCTTAGCCTTGTCACCACAATCGGCAGGCAGAAATTAGCTCATTTTCCTTTCCGTCAAGAAGCACTCATTATTTGCGATGGAGAGGACGCCGGAAAGCGAAGCTCCTTCGCCCGCCGAAACATGCGCCGAAGAGATTTGGCCTGAAGTGAAAAATTTGTGAAGAAATCAAAAACGAAAATTCGGGTGACTGGAAAGAATAAAAATTGAAATCCGACCAGTAATAAAATCCAGGCGTCCTGAGTGGCATTCAAGTATTCTACCACCGGGCTATGCAGGCTCGTGAAACAGCTATACGCAGTGTATGTGCCATATTGGTGCAAAGTTGATTGTGATTGCAATGTTGGCTAGCCACTTTTATAAAAGTACTAAACCTTGTAAATGTACTCATGTGACTGGGCAAGCTACATGCAAGCGTACCTCGGAGGAATGCAGGAAAGTGAACTTCGTTTTGACAAACCTGACACGTGTGCTATATACTCAGCAAGCTATATTCATGTGTCGCTCGACCCCCGAGGAATCGAGCAAGACTTGCTATAAAATCTGCTATGCAGCTATCGTGAGTGCTGACGTTACGTCAAACTATAAGCTACCCGATAAGCGCTAATGTAGTCGACGCCTCTACTAAGGCCATAGGGTGCACACTACTCCATTTACACAAACACTTCGATACACCTCGTAACGTTTCACTCAAAGCAAATAAAAAACAACAACAAAAAGGAATGTCCGTATAGATAGCTACTCACTGACTTCTCCTCATGAAACCATTAATAAAAAAGCGTGAGACCTGTCAGATATTTGATGCCAGAATAGTACAAGCGTCGCCCACACTCACTCAACGTCGATGACCAAGAACGCGAACTCAAAATAACAAAACGCACACACAACAAAATAGGCATACATGTGAAAACAGGTTGTTCGAGCGACCATCGCAAAAGAACACACCACGTATTTGATTTCGTTGTTTTTAATAAAAACTATACATATTATATACCCTATTATCAGCAATGAAGATTCAAGCTCCACAACACTCAGTAGTTATAGTGACATTTCTGCTCGTCGAACGCTCCTTACGGACGACCTGGCAGATAGTAATAAATGTGCCTAAAACTGTCTAGCCTCCTCCGCAAAGTAGATTGATTGGCGCCATTGATCGTATTTAGAAGTCCCCGGTTTCGTCGCGAAGTAATGTTACACGTCGAGTCCCACTCTGTATCGTTGACGCCGATTTCTGTTCGTGTAACGAAACCAATGCCGACTTCGACGTTGGGGTTGTGACGAATACGGTAAATACATTTATTATAGCAAAAGAACACGTAATAACGCGTGGTTTGCGGGCAAATATCTTTTTCGTGGGCCACATATTCCAACACTAGCCATTTCGTCTGTAGCACTTTTCATACAAAAAACACTACGTTCTCGGACAGTACGGAACAAATAATAAAATTGTACAAGCTTTTTAAAAAAATACCATCGACTAAATTAGGTCTCGTCGTGGATGCTTAGTCAGCTATAAACATGACGCGCGTAACATTAGATTGTATCGAATATATTAGCGTGTTTTCAATAATTTTGATTGGTTAGGCATATGTACGCTTCCGGTAGATGCCTCAGTCATACAGTATGACACGCTCGTGGCAGAGGTATCGTTGTACCAGTTTGTGGATAACGTCCGGGTAGGAATCCGGTGGTTGGTTCCTCAGAGGCCAGTACCTTCTTTTTTTCACCAAGTCCACTATCATGAGCGGCATCTGGAAGAACAGGAAGGGACTGGGAGCAACGAGTGCCTCGTTGATGTAGTGCATCCAAAGCCGCGTCCTGTAAAACTTCCAGTGGACCTCAGCGTTGTCGATTACCTTCTGGAAGGTCCCCGTGACGATGGCGATGAGCGAGTTCAGCATCGCGATGAGCATTAGCACCTGGTAGACAGAGTACATGGTGGAGCCGATTACTTCGGTGAACCTGTGTTCGTTGATGGACCCGTCCTCGGCGTTAGCCACCACCACGTCCGCCTGGTCATCGGACGCGACGCCCAGCATCCGAAGGAATAGCGTCTTCATGGAGTTGCCGAACGATGTAAAGGCCGGGCTCTGTTTCACTTCCTCGCCGTCGGGTTCGACTCTCTTCATCCCTCTGTAAGGCTCGTACATGCGCGTCAGCCCGAACGCGAACGCAAGCATGATGCAGAGACAGATGAAAAAGAAGCGCACGATCTCGACCATCATGGATGAAATGGACACCTGCAGCGGTCCTAGTTTGGCGCTCTCCTGAAAGTAGAACATGAGCTTGAACACGCTCATGACGGAAGACAGTGCGAACAGTGCCTCGTGTATCAGAGTGCTGTCCATACTGGGCCAGTCCTTGCGAGGCGGCACGGTACCTCCACTCGGGTCTCCCAGCAACTCCGCCCAAGCGACGACCCAAAAGATGAAAGTGAGCAAGAATAGGCTGATCATGGTTATGTCGTACCAGTGCCACATGCTGCTGAAGTATCGCTTTGCGCCGATGGTATAACAGTGTACGGTCTCTTCGACGATGAATCCCATTACCCAGATGACAATAAGCCATTCGACGCCAGTGCGAGGAGCGCCCCGGGACGTCCTCGCCTTGTCGAGACATATCTGCATATATACAAAGAATACGAACATGAGCCTCGCAGCGAAGTGGTTCATGTACTTGTTCACGGGGCTCGACCAGTGCCTAGCCATGACCGACTGCGGCATTAGCTTGACCCAAATTGCTACGAAGGGCAATATGAAGAACCTGATCGCGAAGTGAACAAGCTTGACTCGAAACTGCAATCGGTTCCACGCCTTGAACTCTCCTTCCCACTCGATGCGAAGCACTTGCTGAACATGGCCGTGCGTCACGAACTCGCGCTCGTTGAACTGCAGGGCCAGGATGACGCGCGGAAACGCCAGGTGTGTCACCCGGCCATCGAGTCCGGCCGGTCGTTCGAGGAGAACGCGCGCCTCCTCGATCGTGCGGCATTGGTCGAGCAGGGCGCAGGTGAACTTTCGAAGCTTCGAGATCTCCTGGTCGTATTCCCTTCTGAATTCTTCTTCGGCGAGAGACGCCCCGGCCATGCCCTGAGCGAAGAGGAAAGAATCGAGTATGGGGTCGCCCGATACCTGGAGCATGTAGTGGGGATTGCAGATGGCCTTGTAAGTGTTTAGGTTGCGCGTCGATGCATTCACTCCTTCTGTCCTCATATCCTTGATGCAAGTTTTGCAGAGGCAGGAGGCCGCGTGTGGAGCTTCGACCCGGAGATCTCGTTTGACGAAAGAGTGGATCAGCGCCCAGTGGCCCATTTGTGCCGCCAGTACAATGGGTGACACGTCGGCGGTGTACGTAGAACTATGCGGGTAGCCATGTTTTTCGCATTGCTGGTCGGTCTTGCTTGCTTCCTTGACGAGGAACTCCGTTAATGGAACGTCACCCGTTTCGACGGCGTGTAGCAGCACGTCATTGAGCTGGACTCCATTTTGGACTAAGAATTTCACCATCGGCAAGTCCTTTCGGCGGACCGCAACGTGAAGCGCCGTGTAGCCCTGACAATTGACGCAGTCTTTGTTTAGGTGCGGGTGAGAACTGAGGAACGCCTCCAGATTGGTGATGTCCGCCGCTTCGACCAGTTGGAAGTAGCGCAGCTGGTCGGGATCCAATTCCGGAAGAAAGTCAGTACACACCAAGTACTCTTCCGACTGCTGTGCCAAGGACTTCGCTGAAGGGACGATGTGGACTTCATCTTCGGCATCGGTGACGCCGGAGAGGGCGTGAAGCAGACGCCGAGTTGCTTTCGGGGGCATCTTCATCTACCGCGTTTGATGGTTGACGCTTGCCACGCGCCCGCAGCTTTCGTTCTTTCTTCCTCGCATAACTTGTTCTTCTTGTTCACATTCTCTTGTGGCTCATACCCACTGTGGGGGACTAGCCAAGAATTGAGTAGTCTTATAAAATCTTAAGTAATTGTCGAGTAAAGGGGATTAATAACAAAACATTACCAGTTTTTAATGAAGTTTTGATGCTCACTCAAGCGTACCAACCATAAAGCTTTTAATTCGTAATATATAATGCTTTTAATTAAATCAACACCCTAATTACAGGTTTCGCAGTGGTGATAACGACGATAATGATGATGATGATGGTGCTTGAAAGAATGGCTCCACTCGATGGGATCGGCCAAGAGTCGATCGGGTGGATCATGCCGTCAAGATTTATTATTATTTGTATGTGCTAATAGAGGTTACAGATGCATTTACAAAAAAGCGTTAATTATGATGAATCCTTCTTTTAGCCAACCCTATTTTGCGTAACCTCCCAATGACCAAATATATTTTACTAGGATGACATAGTGTAGAATTATTAGCGGTTGATTCAACTAATACATCTACTTGAGTCGGATATGAACTTTTTGACGGCACTCAGTATATTCCTGTCCGAGTGTCCCAGTGCGGAGGCCCCACATGATAACAGAACAATCGAATCAACTGGTAGACCAAGTTACCGTAATATAATTTTGAGTGTGAGGAAGTTCGTTTTCTGTGTGAGTTCAGGAAGAACTGTTGCATAGTTTCGGTCTCTTTGGAAAAGGAGCAAGGAGAAATCGCCAGGCCCGCTCTGTGCGTGTATACGTGTACTGAGGTCTCAAATACCCATGGTTAAAGAAGGAGTTGAAAATACTATTTCCTTTTTGTTATAAGAGCCTTACAGTGTTTATCATGTTTTGTTTCTGCCCCCTTCTCACATACTAATTTTCTAGGCAAGTGGGAACTCTCGAGTCAGTTATTTATCTCATGTCTGTATTTTGAAAGCGTTTATCATTAGCAATAAAGTGTAAATACGTCCCACAAACATTCGAAGCAGCAATTACTACGATAAAAAATGATTCAACATCGCTTATCGATTCGGACTTCTGACTAATAACAAGGGAACAGTAGTAAAGACGTCCAATTTTTCGAGAATCATTCATAGTGCACATGAACATTACGTGTTAACCAGTCGCGTAGCCAGGAATTTTTTTCGGGGGTGGGGGACTTGTTGGGATGGGGCAATCGTCACCAAAACAATCAACATTGTAGCAGCTTGTTGCCGGCGTTGCCATCTTGCCGCTTTTCCCGAGCTCTCGCCTACGGGATAACTTGCTCTCTGCGTAGAGGTTGAACCGTCGCATGCCGAGCTCTCGACTTCAAAGTAGCAGATTATCGGCGTTGCCGCTTTGCCATTGCTTCGCGAGCTCTCGCCTCCAGGGTAGTTTGTTGTCTGCATCAACTTTGCCTTTGCGGGCGATAGCGCGTTCACATTTGTTTCTATCCATGGCGGAAAGAGAATATGTGTTCTGAAACGCGCTTATTCTTCATCGTCATCAGCGAGATATGGTAAAGGGTCGGTGGCGAGTCGCGACACCACGGACAATCGCGCCCATACAAAGTTGGATGAATTTTGTGCAGTCGTAATAAATTTGGATAAACTCCCGTTTGAATTTTTCGGAGCTCTATGGCGTCTTCCCCTTTAAGAGATTGTGGGGGGCGCCATATTTCTGCCGCGTGTATCGCTGGTGAGCAAGAAGTTCTCGTGGAGCATCCGAGCCGGGTCGTTTCTCCTCCTCGCGAAAGCCGTCGTTGCTGAGGTGGTTGTAACAGCGAGAAAGGCTGCTGCTCCCGCTCGGTTCGTGAGCGCTCGAGCTAGAGCGTCCGCCCTCTCGTTACCCTCTAGGCCTGCATGTCCAGGGCACCAGACCAACCTATAAGTGTTGCTCAATTCGCCGCCTAAAAATTTGCAATGTTTAATGGGAGGCGGCCTTTCGTGAATAGCCGGCACGCCTCTTGCGAATCTGAGAGTATGGTGATGTATGTCTGGCCAGTCCGCTGCGCTCTCGACTTTTAATCGCCAATGCGATGCCGAAACACCTCGGCCTTCGTGACGATGTAGTGTACAGTGATGCGCTGGACGCCATGCTTCTCGTGTCACTGCTTACCATTGTGACGACGCAGCGCTTCCAGTTATACCTGGAAGCGTCAACGTATAGCACGTTCTCATTGCCTCTAACTAATTTTTCTGATCCATTTACACGCTTCTCTCGCCTTTCGTGATGCCGCTCCTTGGTCATGTTCCTGGGGATAGGGGCGATCGAAATATGTCGTCGGACTGGGTCTGGTACGTCCACCAGCTCCTCGTCCAAGTTTTGGGGTTGGGGTGTTATACCCGCCCCCATCAGTATCTCTCTTCCCGACTTCGTCTGGCTGAAGTGGTTGCGCTGAGAGATCAATGTTGCTGCTTTCAGTTCAGCGTACGTGTTATGCAGGCCGATCTCGAGAAGCCTCTGTGTCGGAGTGCTTATCGGTAAGCCTAATGCTGCCTTGTAAGCTCCTCTGATGATAGAATCTACTTGCTCTTCTTCGCTCTTGTTCAGCGTGTGGAAAGGCAAGCTTTATGTCAATTTGCTCATTACGAGCGCCTGCACTAATCGGACAGTATCACTTTCTTTCATGCCTTTTTTGTGGAAGGTGATCCTCTGAATCATTCTAGCCACTTGTTTAGTTGCTGATTTAAGAAGACCGATAGTGAGATTTGCCCTACCGTTGCTTTGAACCCAGAAACCCAGGATCCGGGCGACGGTGACTTCTTTAATTTTCTGCTTTTCGATTTCACTTTCTATTCTTCCGTTACTTTTGTAGCGTTTGCTGTGTATTCTGATCACCTCCGATATTTTTCGGGTGCGCAGCTGAGACCACTGGTTCTGGCAAAGTTTTCGACAGCCAGTGCCGCCTCTTGCAGAGTCTGCTCTTGCTGGCCAGGGACCCCCGTGTGGCCCCACAGAGTAGTAATGTCGTCCGCGTAGAGGGTATAACGTAGCTGTGGTACACAATCCAAGGCCCGAGCGAGTCGACGCATGGCGATATTAAACAACAGAGGAGATATTATGGCTCCTTGAGGCGTTCCCTTGTTTGGCATTCGGAATGGCTCAGACCTAACGCTTGAGATACCAATTGTCGCCTCCCGATCGGTGAGAAATCTTTTATATAGTTATATATCTTTGCCCCGCAACCAATTATATTTAGCTCTGAGAGTATAGCTTCATGAGGAGATTGTCAAAAGCTCCCTTTAAGTCTAGAGCAAGCAGCTAAATGCTCTCCACCTTTGGGAACACCCTGAGTACCTCTTCTTGTATCAGGAGGAAAGCGTCCTGTGTTGAGAGACCACTGCGGAAGCCCAGCATGGTGGCCGGAAGCAGCCCCCTGTCCTCTATGAAGTTCTGAAGTCTGGTCTGAACGACCCGTTCGAAAAGCTTCCCCATACATGACGTAAGTGATATAGATCTGAGCGCCTGCAGGGAGGGCTTTTTTCCGGGTTTCAGAATGGTTATAATTTAGGCGGTTTTCCATTGTGCAGGGACCTTTCCTTTGAGCCAATAGTGTTCATTGAATTGTTTTGTCATGCCTTCGATGGCTTTGCCGCTAAGGTTTCTTATCATAGCATTCGTAATTTGGTCTTCACCGGGGGCTGTGTTCCTCTTGGCTGCCTGAGCTGCCGCAAAGACCTCCTCCTTTGTTATCGGCTCGTCTAGTTTCTCATTTGTAGCTCCACTGTAACTCATGTGATTAGCCGAGTTACTTGGTGGACTATCGCCAATATATCTCTCCTTGAGGGCTTTCACGAGATCGTCGTCCGTGCCCGGAAATGTTTCTGCGATTTTCTGCGGTGTTCTGCTTGTCGTGGATTTGGACTTGTCTGGATCAAGAATATTTCTTAGGATGGACCAAGTTTTCGCATCTACTTGAGTCGGATATGAACTTTTTGACGGCACTGAGTATATTCCTGTCCGAGTGTCCCCGTGCGGAGGCCCCACATGATAACAGAACAATCGAATCAGCTGGTAGACCAAGTTACCGTAATATAAGTTTGAGTGTGAGGAAGTTCGTTTTCTGTGTGAGTTCAGGAAGAACTGTTGCATCAATCGGTCTCTTTGGAAAAGGAGCAAGGAGAAATCGCCAGGCCCGCTCTGTGCGTGTATACGTGTACTGAGGTCTCAAATACCCATGGTTAAAGAAGGAGTTGAAAATACTATTTCCTTTTTGTTATAAGAGCCCTACAGTGTTTATCATGTTTTGATCCTGCCCCCTTCTCACATACTAATTTTCTAGGCAAGTGGGAACTCTCGAGTTAGTTATTTATCTCATGTCTGTATTTTCAAAGCGTTTATCATTAGCAATAATGTGTAAATACGTGCCACAAACATTCTAAGCAGCAATTACTACGATAAAAATTCAACATCGCTTATCGATTCGAACTTCTGACTAATAACAAGAGAATAGTAGTAAAGACGTCCAATTTTTCGAGAATCATCCATAGTGCACATGAACATTACGTGTTAACCAGTCACGTAGCAAGGAATTTTTTCGGGGGGGGGGGGGGGGACTTGTTGGGATGGGGCAATCATCACCAAAACAATCAACATTATAGCAGCTTGTTGTAGGCGTTGCCATCTTGCCACTTTTTCCCGAGCTCTCGCCTACGGGATAACTTGCTCTCTGCGTAGAGGTTGAACCGTCGCATGCCGAGCTCTCGACTCCAGAGTAGCAGATTGTCGGCGTTGCCGCTTTGCCATCGCTTCGCGAGCTCTCGCCTCCAGGGTAGTTTGTTGTCTGCATCAGCGTTGCCTTTCGCGGGCGATAGCGCGTTCCCGTTTGTTTCTATCTATGGCGGAAAGAGAATATGTGTTCGGAAACGCGCTTATTCTTCATCGCCATCAGAGTGATCGGGTGCTGTCTGCGGGGGGGGGGGGGGGGGGGGTTAATGATGATAATGA